TGTGTTTTCTGTTCCCTAGCCTTCTGCATAAATTGGTGGCAGGTATAGTCTGTTGAGTTTTATGAGTGTGTGAGTTGTTACTTTTTTCCCCCAAAGGGTTGACTTTTGATTGCAAAATAATGCACTTAAAAAGTATTCAATGATGGTGGGATCTGCAGATGTTTTAGTGCTTATCAGCAGCCAGGCAACATGTTCAACATTTCGGTTGTGTGAGCTTACGTAATCCTCACAACAACCCCTCAAGGCAGGTGCTATTACTATCCTAACTTTATAGATGAGAAAGCCAAGGCAAGAAACGTGAAGTGATTTGCTCATGGATAATAGATAGTAGGTGATGGAACTGGGTTTCTAAGTTAGCAACATGATTTTGTCAGCATTTCAGGAACCAATATATCTCTCATGGGTGGTTTTACCTCAGCCGTGCTCATAAGAGGGATGTGTGAAACCAGAGTGCTGATTTAATAATTAATGATTTGATAATTATATCAAATCACAAGGACATGAAATTTTTTCTGACTGGTGTTGTCTCTCCTCAGAGGCTGAAGTAAGTAGGCACTTAGATAAGAATCGGAAATTTACTCGATGAGCATGGATCCAGATTGGGAGAATTAGATAAATCCATTCTATTGGATTTAATGAATGCCTACTGTGGTCTAGGCATTATGTTTGTCACAATGACATCAAATGTTTTAAATGCACGAATCTAAGGTAGTCTGATGTATCCATCTCATAGGAGGGCTGTCTTACCATTGGGACCAAAATACTCAGAGTCTGTTTGCTAAGCTTTCCTCTTCCTTGTACATTGCTTAGAAGAATGCTGATCATCTTTGCATTTTACAGTTCCTCTTTTTCTGCTGCTCTATGGCTGACAGCCCTCTGTATGGTTGACACCTTTCTTTTACTATATCAAGTTATTTGACCGGGTTATTATCAACTCTTATGGACATAGGAGTCATTCTATTTTTATATCTCTGTTCTTATCCATTATGTTTCAGCTAAAAATGTAATACTCAGAGGGCTATCTAAGGTACATCATTTCCAGGTTAGGTATTGGTGGGTGGGTATTAGGATGGGGACGCTCTTTATAGTAGTTCCCAGTATTTTCAGTAGTCAGTAATTCTGGAAAAATACCTGATAGGAGAGAAAATTGAATTTTGACTGAAGAATAGTTTGGGAGTTCTTCTTTTATTTGAGTTTGTGCCATCTGCATCTGCTTAGGTAACCAGAAACAGGCTAGCTTGTGAAATTGTAAACTCCATACAGGTAGCGTCTGTATGTTATTTACCACTCCAGTGCCAAAATGAATGTCAGGTGTCATTCCTTCACACCTGTGCTGTCATGAGGGGTGGGGGTGGTGGAGAGAGTGGCCCCTGGACACTAGTGTGGACTGTTATGTAGATTCTTCCTAAAGAAAAATGCCTGACACCACTCTGCTGTCATGCTGTGTTTTCTGTTCCCTAGCCTTCTGCATAAATTGGTGGCAGGTATAGTCTGTTGAGTTTTATGAGTGTGTGAGTTGTTACTTTTTTCCCCCAAA